AAAGGCTTGACCAAAATTGCCTCAGTCCTGGGCTTTTTGGGCCGCGACTTTTTAGCGAGTGCCGAGCCAGGCACAGCTTGGGCCACGCCGGTCGATTGCGCCCTCACTGCCACATATGTCTTGGAGCCGACTTCCGCGTGCCTCAATTTCCTCTTCTCCTTTTTCGTAAGGCGCTTTTCCCACACAGTCCCAGATGGTGTTTCTACGACTGACCCCTTTCGGGAGCTACCCTCAATGGGTGTCGCAGGTTGCTGTGGCTGTTGAGGTTTCGCTGGAGCGGCAACTACGTCAGAGAAGGACGAAGTTTGGATAGGTTATGACAGTTTGATTTTATAATTATAAATTATGTAATTGAATTTTAGGCATTTAAAATTTTATTTTATAAACAGAACAATTTTTTAGACCAGCAGACTAATTCTTTCAAAAATACATCTGTAAATATTAGTTAAATTATGAAATTTGCCCGTTATCACATGAAATGAATATAATTTAATGCCTCAAATGTATATATTGTATTAAAAGATTTTATATTTCTACTAAACTGTATCTCGTTTCCAATCATTGCGTGGGACAGGAAGGCTCTGGCATATCATTTATGTTGATTGTACACATGTTGGTTTTGTACTTATATCAGTATAGAACTAAGAAATAGTATTTGATAAATTTACAACATATTTAATACGTGTATTCAAATTTATAATGTATTCAACACCACACCATTTCTTACTGTCCCCACCCCAGTTAATTTCCTTTAATTCAATAACTATAACTATGACAACAATAATCATAACAATAATTTCGTAACAATATTTGTTTCACATTAAATAAAAAAAGCTATAAAATTAGCAGCGCATGATGAATGTAGAATCATAATAACCTGATTTGAACTCCCGCCAAATGCGCGAGCGTGCTGCTATCTCACGGAGATCTGCCAGACTACTACGCCGAATTACCGCCGCGATGCGCAGCAAAAACATGCATTTTCTTAAACCATATCACGTGCACAGTTTACGTCGGATCTTCTTGAAACAAACTTTATTCGATAGATAATTAAATTTTGTAGGGGGTTTGCTTTTTCGAATTTCAAATATTCCTTTAGAAAATCCTCCACAAATTTGTAAACTTAAACAAGCGTATTTTTGCTATAATTATTTTAATATTTCTTTAATCGAAAAAATAAAAAGCAAACCCCCTGTAGAATTGTATTCTCTTTCCAACGACACATCAAACGTAGTTCTATGTTAAAAAATAACGGCGCTATATGGTTCAAAAGATTACATTGTTCTTATGGGGCATCAATCCAATATGGCCGACTGCTACTGCCCACTCTTAAAATATCAGCGGTTTGTTCTTATGTTGGAATGTATCTGACAGTGATCTGTTTCCCAGAGACCAACTGTCGAACATAATGGTATCTCGTCTCAATATGTTTAGAGCGATCGTGGAACATTGGATTGTTCATAAGTTTAATCACACTTTGATTGTCCACATGTAGTATAGGAATAGACTTTTCTTCAAATTGCGCCAATCTCTTTCACAAGACGAAGGGATTTACAGGTCTCGCTAGCGGCAACATATTCTGCTTCCATTGAAGATTGGGAAACACACCATTGAAGCTTACTCTTCCAAATAGTCTCATCAAGATTGCCATTCAAAAATGCTGTTTTAACATCAAACTGTTTGATAGCAAGATTGTACTGAACTGAATAGCCTAACATAGTTCGCATCGTCTTAAACCGAGCTACAGGGCTGAAAGTGTCAACATAATCAATACCAGGACAATGAATAAATCCTTTTGCGACCAAACGCGCCTTGTAACGAATGATCTCGTTCTCAGAATTTGTTTTCAGTGCAAATACCCAGCGATTATCGATGACTTTTCTTCCTTTTGGTTGATCAACCAAATCATAAGTTTTATTTTTTATTAATGAATTTATTTCTTCATCCATAGCGGATTTCCAATCGACGACATGCTCAGATCTAATTGCTTCATCATAATTTTCCGGTACTTCGTTTGTAAGTATTGCAGAGGCTAAAAGCTCATTTTTATCTCTGTCACTGACACACATGACAGAATCATCTCTATATCTCATAGGTATTTTTATTACATCACGTTTTCTCAGGTTATAAGTCTCCTCTTGTAATATATCACCTGGAATAGCGTTATCATCACTAGGACACAGAATGTCTTGCTCATCAGTATCATTGGTTCCTGGATACACAATATCTTGCTCTTCTTCATGGAATATATTGTCCTGATTACTGTCAACAAGCTGATTTCTGGTCTCATAATTTAGAATTGATTGCCTACTGTCAAGGGGATCATGCTCGATATCATTGCTACTCTCTTCAATGTTAAAGTAGTGTTTATCATCGTTATTGTTTATTTTCTTCAAAATAAAACATGATTCTTTTGGTGGAATGACCTTAACAACCATATTATACAATTGATTAGCTGTATTAAATATAGCCAAAGCAATGATTGTTCCATTTTGAGAAAACACCCATGACTTACCATCGTTTTTCACAGTCTGGTGAATGCCTTTTTCACCTGCTTTCCTCACAGAGAATAAGTTACAAGCAACATCAGGACAGTACCAAACATCATCGAAATACCTGTAAGTCCACTGTTTACCATCAAAAACCATAACGTCTATTTTTCCTGACCCCAAGGCCTGAATATGAACACCTTGGCGAGCACTGTCCATCTTTTTAGGAGTATCAAATGGTTTGTAAGTGGCGAACCAGTCCCTGCGGTTTGTCACATGGTGAGAATTATGGACATTATAATATGAATAAATTACATCTTTAACAAAAACAATATCTTGAACAAATTAAGTTTTAAGGCTACCGGTATTGTTTATGAAGATTGGGCCCAAGTCATGTTCTTAATTATCTCTTTTTAGTTGTACTTACATTTTGACCAGTGTGATCATCACTAACTTCACTGTTATCCATATTTTTTCACTTAAACACTAAAATCATTATACATCTACTGTAAATATCACATATTAGCTCACAGTATTATAAATATAACACAATGTAAACATACAAATTACAAATATATTAAAACTGCTTTATAAAAATTAAAATAATAGCACACAACACGCAAAACACCAATATAGAGCAAAGCACAGACTGATGCAACGGGGTATTTCCTGTTACGACAGGCAAGGAGTTCGATCCTTGTTCCTAAAATGCACCAGCATTTGATCGTTATTCTCCCGTTCTGTTACACGTATACTTTCTGAATGATTACAAGGAATCTGAACGTTTTTCCCATGTATCCTTACAATGATACTATTCGGCAGCATCAGCTGATTTTAATGATACATTCATCTCAATTTCCGATTTTTTTGGAGTTATATATCGTTTTTTCCCTGTATATTATTTTACCATGAAAAAACAGAAAAATTGATTTTAAAAAAACCCCCGGCTCTGATTGAAATTCCTCTGTTATGGTCCTTATAATTCTGAACCAAATAGTGCAACCCTCTATTCCTGTAAAAATTACGGTTCAAAAGTCAATGTAACTTTTGTGTTATTATTTATTACCAATTAAATATCATAGTTACTCTCATCGCTTACCCATGATAAAGGTTGTTGACGAGGTAATGGGAGAAAGTATGTGTCAGATTACTGATACCATTTATTTTATTTATATTGTAAGTGAACTTACTATATAAGCATAAAAGTTATTATTTGAAAAATTTTTAGATCAAAATAAGATAATATATTTTTCAGGAGAAATAGATAAATTTGTACAAAATGTAAATGCCAGAAAGCCTGTCTCAAATCCTCAAGTTTAAACTAGCACGAGTTTACACTCAGTTGAAATCATGTCAGATTTGGTCAGCAGTAAAAAGCAGTATTAAATTTAGTATTAGCCTACCTATCATAAATCAGCTGTAATTTGCATTGATCACATTCCTGTGCTGACTGTAATCTTTAATATCGTGATCATTTTCATTATCATCATCACCTAAGGTAACCAAAACATCATCGTCTTTCATGATCACAGTAAAATCCCAGTATCTCCCGCGGTAACAGAAACATCACCATCATTGCCTCCTGCGATAGCAGCCAAATCCCTATCGTTCACCGAAACATTATCATCAGCGGCATAATCCTGAACATTTCACACAGAAACAGGAATGTTATACTCGCTATCCGCATACGCGGCAATATACAAATATCACCCGCGGTCATGTAATCATCATTGTCTTCTGCGATCACGGAAATGTTATCATCACCATCGTGGCATAATTATGAATAACTAACACAGTTACATGGTCATTATCATCGCACCTTGTATCTGTCCTATGCAATCAACATTTTGGGTTTACATAATTCTTTGTTGCTTTCCGGATCTTTTGCCCCAGCTTTTTCTCTGTATTTGACAGCCCTGGGCGCTGGTTGGGGACTGTACGGTGCTGCTACCTGTTGCTCTTGCTGAACTACATCTATAAACACCAGTATGCAGCATAAGCTATACTGTGGCTCTTCAGTTTGTTGGAACAGAACTTAAACTATTTCTTGCCCTTCTCTTTCCATTGCCAGTTGCCACACATTCGCTGTGAATTCTTTTTTTTCTTCATACAACCGTTCTGTTTACTATTAAATGAATTGCTTAAACCCTGCTTTACTCATGCAATTCCATTGCACTTCACAAAGCACATTTGGTTAACATCCTTGCTGTATTGGAGAATACTTAGCATGATTTCACGTGTTAGTTAAAAAAATGTTCTTATTATTCAACTTCTTTCCGGATGGTACTCTTACAATCATTTAATTCTACTTGTTTATTTTTGTGTACCGATACTTTTATATCCAACTTTTCCTTATTTTATTCGAAGAAAGGATCTTCTTATTTCTGATTAGTTTAATACTCTTCCAGCATTTGATATAATTTAACTAAAAAACTGAATAATAGTATTAATCTGTGAATTTTAATTTCAACTTTTCAACACTTGAGTAACTTTTTCGAAATATTGTTGCAGGATTACTCATCTACTTCTTTTATGGACTGAAACACAGTAAAGCAAATAATGAATCTGACAAGCCAATCTACGAACGGCTTCAGAACAGTGACTAGTCTAAATGTTAGGTTTTGTTTTGTCTTACTACAATTTGTAAGTACAAGTTTGTTACATCTTTGTTTGTTAAGAATTTTTTTTAACATCGACCTTTTACTAGCCAATATTTTGCTTTAGCAGTATTAAACTTGGGAGGATCTGGTGTATTATTAAGTGATAAGCAAGTGATCATTTTATACCAGGCATAATCTGATAAAATAATAATTCTTTATTTTATGTTTTATCAAAATTTATAAGCAGGAGTTTAGTCTATTAGTCTATTGTATTTACAACACATTTTGCATGTAGGCTAGTTGAAATATGTTTTTTCGAATTTAATCTATTTGTTCTATACCATTTTAGTGTACTTTAATTTGTTAATCTTTTATTATATTTGTATTTCCATTAGAATTTATAAAAGTTATGATTTATTTAAATTTACTGTAGGTATACTCTTTACTTGAATAATAATGCTGTATTGAACATTATTTGTTGTTTGTTAGATTGTGATTTCCCTTCTACAGTAATATTAAGATTTATGTTGTTTTATTCGTACAAAGATTGCATTTTTTAGGGCCTTATAAGGTATATACCTTATAAGGTCAACTGTCCACAAATTACAATGTGATTAGATAGAGGATATTTTACTTTTCACCCATTACATAATTTTATGTATAGATAGTTATTTTTCTTTTATTGAAAAATAAATGTGTTAATGTTATGTTGTTCAATGAGAGTTAAGTTTTTTAGATTTAATATGTAATTCATGTGATATGTGTGATGTTAGTACAGTTAGTATTTAGGACAGATATTTTGTGTTAAAAAAGTAAAGCTGTAAAAACCCGTTCCCTGTTGTGCCTTAATGGCTGTTAGTCAAAACGTATTTTCTGACTAAAATCAATCTGTAAATTCTGTTCTTAACCTCTTTATAGTGATGTATGGTAGATTTGTTGTACTATGAAAAACTTCACAAAATGGAATGTGTATATTAGATGAGAAAATGGGGGTGAATTTGAATTTTAGAAGCTATGTAAAATTACATGGATATTTTGAGAAACAAAAAACTCTGACTTTCAAATAGACTTCATTTAGTGGGCGTTCAAAGAGTGCATCTAGTTTTTATCTCATTTCAATGCCATATCACCTCTCTGATTCTTTGGATCTGCCAAGTGCTACATGACTGTGTAAACAAAACCTTGATCACAGAGAAGTAAAATACAGAGGATACGTTGGATTGTACATTTAAGTGGTGTCTAGCTCTAACACCAGTCTCTGGTTTCTAGATTAAATTCTATTTGTTCCCTTCCTCTCTCCTTTCCCCCTAGCCCTCACGCTCTACAGCCCTCACGTTGTAGGAAGACCCTGTGTGCTACAACTGCTGTACAACAACGCTATGTGGGCATCCTTGCTCATTACAAGTACATTTCCGCCCCAACTTACCAGAGCTAAAAGATCACGGTTCTCTCATAAGCTTGTATCCTCTGTATCTGACTTGACTTCTCCGTGTCTTGATACACTACCTGTCAATGCTACAGAATGTAACATTATACATTTTGCTGTGAAAATAACAATGCTTATCGCTTTTGGTATAATTTACTCATTACAAAACATGTTATTTTTACTTACTAGGTTACTATAGGTTAATAAATAAGCCACATTGACGTAATAAATTTATATACTTTTCATTTTGTAGCTTTTAAAACCCTTCTTTTGATTAACCTTATTATTTAATATTTACTCCATTCTGGATCTTCCGGTGAGAGTTGCATCAAATTTGTATTTACACAATTTACAAAACCCTTTCCATTTACACTTCGCCCACTCTACGATGTGTCTCATCCTCATCAGTGATAAAGCTGAGACTTTTTTAAAAATAACAATTTGACCCAGCTCTCATCGGACAACCTAGAACGTAGTGGTGACACATGCCACTTAACACATTTGCTGCGGCCCGTCAATGACAGGCGTAGACCTGGTGCGGTGCAGTGTAGAATGAACCTGATTGCCGGTTGATCGGCTTTCAAATATTTCGGTCTGACGAATAGCAAATAACGTTCCCTGATGTGCTGCTTTACAAAAAGAGTCGGCGTATTTCGATAAAACACCCACAGATAGTAGCACTACTTGGGAGGTAGCCGGTTCTATTGTATTGCCAATTGGAGGGAGGAAAACGGGACAAGTTGATTTCTAAGCTAGCCAGACAGGGATTTTACAGGGAAATTTACAACCAACCACAATTAGAGACACAATACTAACGCTTACCAACCGTCCTCGGCTTGATCCTGAGCCACACTGACTGGACAAACAATGCATTGCACACTCCCTGGTGACGCAGCCGTTTCGCACCACGGCACGCCATGCGTCACCGCAGCAAATGTGTTAAGCCTACAAATAAAAATTTTACATTTACAAGTTTTTTAAATTGTTTTATTTTACCTGAAAGTAGGAACAAACTAGTCATAATGTATCAGTCAGTAGATAAAAATAAGAGTGGTTTAGATGGTCAATTTATTCAACTTGATCTTCTTTTATAAGTAGATAACAATCAATATTAGGATACATTAATGATCGCTTTTATTACAATGTTGTTGGTATTGTTAAACATGGGGACTTTGACTAATTGACATGGATGTGTCTATAGTTTTTAACTATGTGTATTTTTAATACTAGGTTTTTATTGGATTGAGTAAAATCAAAAGAATATGTAAGTGTCAGTCATATTCTAGTCTTTAGGAAACTAACTCCAGTAAATGTTCTCGAATAAATTTACCAAAAGAGTGCCTAAATATGATCTTATTATACATTTTTTTTTTATATCGAGTTCTTGACATTTTTCTGATTTATTTTTAAAACACTCAAGGATTATAATATGCAACACGTTGATTTTTTTTTCACACTAACACATAAATGTGTATTTTAAGGTAAATAAGTAAATATAAAAGCTGAGTGAGTATAGTGAAGTGTAATTATTTGTAGAGTTATGATATCTGTGTATGGACAAATGAGTTGGCTTTTAATCATAATGCCAATCATAAGCTCAATGAACTGTGTTGTACTGTATGGTTAAGTTACGGATTTATATCTTATTTGCTATATTTTCCGTTGTTATTGATTGTTGCCGTAGTATGATTACCTATAAAAAATATCTGTAAACTTTTGTAAGACAATAAAGAGGTTTATTTTATATCACTTTTTGCCTTTTTATTGTTTAGGCCTAAAGCTCACAATTAATAACCTTTTGGGTTTTCTTGAGTTGGGTTTCTGCCACAGTAATGCTTCCCCCATAACATGTAAAATTTGGTTAACATTTTCTGAAACCAATAAATCTTGAATTTTTCTTAGACTTCAAAGCTCAATTTTTAGTTTGCTCCAAAAACAACACAAAACAGCTTTTCACCTTCCTATTATTTTAAAGTTACCTAATGTATTGGACAAAGTCTGAATCACAGCCATGTCAACACAGTTGTAATATTTGATGAAACTTACGACACAAGTGACCAAATCTACTAGGTAAATATTTTTTAATGACATTCCATGATTTTTTTCATCAATAAAAAAGAAACTTTTGATAGACACTATTGTTATACAAAATGGAGAAGGTGAGAGCTATAAACCCATTTTGGATTGCTTTAAATCAATTATTTCTTTACATTAGTTAGTAATTACTAAACAGTTAAGTCACAATCAGTGATCACAAGCTGCTATCTTGAACTTCTGTTTCAAAATTTCAAATGCACCACTGTAAAATTTCTATTTGTTAAATTGTAAATTTTGTAATACGTTTTTGTTGCAATTCAATGAAGAATAAAGTCGATGACAAACCATTTTTGGCAGAGAAGAAAAGGGGGAAAATGCAGAGTGATTTAGACGACTCTTTAAGCCACAAAATATTGAAGGTTATAGCCCTAATACTCTTTTCCCCTCTTTGCTGAACACAGTGTTTCCTTACATCTCGGCCAGGTTAATTCTTTATTCTCAAATTGTGTGGGTAAAAACAAGTTTTAAACATTAAAGTGCCTCTAGTTTCAAATATTCTTTGATGTTTGAAGTTTGGGAGAATGGCAAGGATACCTATTTTTTTTTTTTTTTAAGGTTGCGTTTTACTTTAAGAGAAGCAGGAAGGCTTGAAATTATAAAATAGTTTATGTATGTGGTTTAAATGTTCCTCTTTGTGATTTTTTTAATAGCTTTTGGATTATTATGGCTCCCTTCATGTGAAAACTATTTAGTACTGAAATTCATCCACACAGTTCACTAAACTTAAGTGACAACATCTCAGGTTTAAAACATGTTATTCATTTTTTAGGAAATTTGTTTTAATTATGCAAATGTACTTTATGGGCTTGAAACAATATTGAGCAGAGGTAACATACTTTCCAATACTTTTCCAATGACAATGATTCATCCGCCTGTACCATCCATCGATCTCTATGTAGTATAATAGAGATCGTTGGTACCATCTGGTTCACGTCAATGTGATGTCTACTTGCACTATCTAAAGTCAATGCTGCATATGTTTCTTGTAAATGAGAGATCTACTTGCAGGATCCAAAGTCAATGGTTAATCTGGTTCTCATAAATATAATGTCTATTTGCAGTATCTAAATTCAATAGTACATCTGGTTTACAGAAATGGAATGTCTACTTGAATTATCCAAAGTAAATCCTACATCTGTTTCACGCCAACGGCATGTGTAGAGTACTTTCAGTACGTACCAAAGTCAATGGTACATCTGTTTGGCATAAATGAGATGTCTACTTGCAGTATCCAAAGTCAGTGGTATATTCGATCACATAAATGGAATGCCAGTATCAGTATCGAACGGTCAATGGTACCCCTGCCGTGGTTCACATAAATGGAATGTCTATACTTGCAGTATCCAAAGTCAATCCTGCATCTAATTCCACCTAATTCACATCAATGCGCGATGTCTACTTGCAGCATCTAAAGTCAACAGTATATTCGATCACAAGTGGAATGCCTATTTGCAGTGTCCAAAGCCAAAAATAGCATTATTTGTTTCACATAAATCATATAAATGGAATGCCTATTTTTGGAATAACTTAAGTCAAACTAGTAGCTTGTAGGGGCAAAAGCTCCTATTTTCGAGCCCTATTTTTAACACTATAAATTCCTTAAACTCGCTATTCCTAATCTAAAATAACAGAATGTGTAGTCAAAAAATATTTTATAATGAATACTTTAGGCCTAATACAGTAAAATCTCGTGTAACTTAAGTTTTTTTTTTTTTTTTTTTTTTTTTTTTTTTTTTATCTCTGAATCACTGAACAAACTATAAAATGGATAAAATTACCTGAATAATACTGCCAGAGTGATTATGTATGATCCTTATGGATGACGCGCTTCGACTAAATCCTCATCTTCAGATCTTGCATAAGAACATTAATCAAACTGGCTTTTTGAAAAGGTCGTCAAAAGTTTAAGTAACAACAAAATGTTAATAATAATATAAAATTTTGTCTTTAGGCCTACTATTTGTTGCATGTCCCAGTTTGTATACAGAGTGTCCCAGACCACCCAGCCGGCTTCTATAGCTCTAATATGAAAGCAAATAGAAACCTATCTGCAACTGGAACCCCCTATTTCGTCCCCAAGGAATTCAGCAAAACTATTTTCTTAACCAAAAAGGCACCCAAAAGGGCAGATTTTTGGGGGTTGGGGTGGTTTTTGGGAAATGTCAAATGTAAGGGGGGGTCGAGTTATACCTCATTTATACCTCAAGGTCTTGTCCTGAGTATTTTAGTGGAAAATTTTTAAATTATTTTTATCCTTATTTAAAGGAGCTTTGCTCACTTCGCCTGCCCCGCTCAACAAGAACCGTTTTATAATTTTTAAACAATGTAATATTTCATTTAAAAGTTTATTAAGGTTTTATACTTTGTAAAAGAGTATACAAAGGACAGCTCTAATCAGTTAAACTCCGAGTTATGAGACAGTCATAAGATGTAATATTTTTTATAAATTATGGCGGATATTTTCACTTGGGTATTAGTAGCTCCGAGGTGTTAAGCTAGGATTAATCCTGCCCAAGCTGTGGAAAACTACAGTGGTCTCACATTTCACCTCCCCCCCTTCCTCTTCTTCACTTCCGCTTTTTAACTCCCTTTCCAAAGCCCAATGACTTAGATTTTGACAAAGAACTGGCATTTGGTAATTGAAAGTTTTGCCAGTGGTTAATGTACTTTTAAACCAATTTTTATTCATATTTGTCTCCTAGATTAAAATATATTTTGTATAAAAATATAGAGTAATGAGTAAAGGGGCAATATAACCTCTTCGTTACTTTCTCCTCCTATATACCATAGATTATGGAGAAAGTATTGTTTTCGTCAAAACTTTTGAGTTTGAGTTTTGAGTGGATATATCCATTTTGGGTCCCCCTGGACACAAAAAAGTTGTTTTTGAAGAGATGTCTGTGTGTTGTTAGGTACCAACTTACTTTGCTAAATCAAAATTAAATTTAGGAAATAATACATTTTGCCTTTCTGTGACTGTATATTTTACAGCTCTTTAAAAGTTAAATTTTTAAACTATTTTTTTATTTGTTTACTTTATAATCTGTTCTATAAATATGATGAACAAAAAGTAAAGGGTATGAAATACAACAAGTAGAGCCTAAAACGTAAGCAAATAATAAAATATATCGGGATGGATAACATTATTTGAATGTCACCATAATGCATGATACAGTTGAACCTTGATAACAAGTCTCTATTATCAAATAAGACTTGCTATCAAGGTTCACTGCTTATCAAGGTTGTAGTTAAGGGTACCTAATACAAAATCAGGGGTGTTTGAAAATTATATTACTATAAGGGCGCCTGTTATCGAGGTTCAACTGTATAAACAATCAATAATTTACTATGTACTAGTGGTCGTCCAGAGGTCGAAAACTCGACCGAAAATATGTACCTAATGTATTTTCTCTATTTTCTATTTTCACCAACGCTGTTAATAAATCTGCACATCTACAGGTAAACATCTTTCTAACAATATGCGTAGATTTTCCCTGCGATGCACACGAGCTGAGAAAACAGGTTTTAAAGAAACATGCGTGCCTATTAATATATAGATAGATAGATAACAATTTTTAGTGTATTTGAAACCATAACGTAAAACAGATTATGAATAAAATTTGTTGCATAACCGTTAAATGGTAGCAATAAGAAATAGTATATAATCAGAACCTGGATGGTTGTTGATTGGTAAAATAGCTCAAACGTAGGTTAATCCAGCACATACGTACTTGAAAATACGTGACATTCAAATAAACCCGAGAAAACGATTCTCGAATCTCGATATTCGATTGTTAAAGTCTTCCAGATGAATGAGCATTCCAAGCAAGACTAAAATGTTTGCACGACTGATACAGATAGCAGTTGGGTCAAATGTTTACATCATACAAAACTGGAATATTGTCTTTACAGTTTGTGAACTGTGTTATTTTTTGTAACTTATAATGCATAATTATTTGATTCCTCCTTTTGATTTCCACAATTAATTTGCATTACTTTATAGTTAAACAATCGCCAACTCTCTTGAATTAAGTGTGTGTTTAAATAACTGAGGTGTCCGTTTTGTGATTCTAAGATGTTTGCTCCTGATTAGACTTCAAGGAAAGGTTTTAAAAGGTTTAATTCTAGATTTTTGAGCCTATCGGTCATAAAGCTTAGCATGAGAGACTATTTTAATACCTATGTTTTCGTCACACTGCATCAAAACAGCCATCTTTAATACATGCGTCGTGGGTCTAAAGTAGCTTTAACTCCCTAGGGAATGAAAAGCCTTTTTAGTCAACTTTTGTAAACATTGATTGTCAGCAATTACATGTATCGGAATTATTTATCGATTTATTTAATCGGTTGCAGTCTATTCTTGCATTCTTGTAAATAGTTCGACATATCGATAGTGTAATGTACACTAACACAATCGTAACAGACGACATGATTGAATTACTCACTAAAAAGCTGGTTATTTGCATTAGTAAAATTGATAACAAATTGACAGTCGTTTTGAGAGGCTATCTTTACATGAAAAGCATTTTCGTTTGCTAATATGTTTTGCTAGTAGTTGCAATAAGACAAAAAAATATAGCTAGAGGGGCAAAATTGTCTTCTCAACCCTTGTTTATTTTCCGAACCTAAACCTTGAGCTCGAGTCGAAAAGAGTCACTTTATGCCCTAGTGATAAAATATAATATTGATAAATATTGCACCACTAATGTTGCTATTGAGTTGAGGGGGTCAGGGAATATGTTCTGGGAGTCTATTTTTGCGTTCAGCTTATTATTAATTGCCTTTCTGTGAGCGTGTTAACCAAAACAATTGTTTTGTAAAATTAAACTTTTGTTATTTTAAGATTGTAGGAAACACGGCCATGCATGATCAAAACAATTAAGTGAATTTACTTTGTTATGAATCAAAATTACTACACGCTTTCCACGGATGTTTTCCAATAGTATGACTACTGATGCCAATATAATATTATTGAAGTAAAATAAGTAAAGAAAATTTGTCCTTTAAGGAACCTAACCTTGTAGGAGGGTTACTACATTTTGCCCGTTTCGATATTGATCCATAGAAATTATGTATATAAATTTAGTTTAATGGACACCTCCGGGATTACAGAATTGTCATGTTAAGCTTATAAATATTATTAACTGTAATTTTATTTATATAGATTGGCTTCTCTTCATAGATTTTTCAATCTGTGCGTTAAATTAGCTTTTTCATTTCGCATTGCCTCAAAGTTGATTAAAATTAATTTCAAAAATGTTTCTTAAACCTTTAAATCTGAAGTGGTACTTCATTCTAACTCATGGTGATGTTATCGATCACGATTACTAGACACGTGATATTCTTTAATCGGTGGCGATACTTTATTTAGTTTTGAAGGTTTGTTTTAGATTGGAGAACATAAGCGCTATACCTACCTATACCACTGGTAGTAAATTATCAGTATATTTTCTATGTTTAAGCTATTTTAATCTTCTATAAAACCGAAAGGAAACAAATAAATAACTTTATTTGCATTCAGCGAAGTGATGAACAAATGTAAACTCGAAGGTAAAACTTGGGCAGGCTATCGACAGAAGATTGAGTTGGGGTTATCTCACTGACCGTTTGTAATAATTAGCGAGAGTAGGGGGGAGGGGGGAGGTCTTTGACAGGGTAGGTATTGGGGGTGACCATGCGCGAGGCTACAAGTTCTCACCGACCCTTCAGTTGCTTCCGAACTTGCCAAGTTTGCCACAAACTCGCGCTCTATTCCCAACAATTACTCGAGCATCGGTAAGTTCCCGTTATTTAATTTTCAACATCACGAAAAATTATATAAAAATAGCACTAAACCATAATTTTTTTTAAAGAATTGAAAAAACTAGTTATTTAAGCTATATTAAAATCTAAAGCATGCTTTATGTGTATTTTGATGACCACTGTGCCTAATGGACATTGATGGTGATTAAATGTTTCTTTCTTAGACGGGGGCTCACTTTACAACGTGTGCTCTGCTATTTGGTTATAATGGCAAAGGACGACTAATTGTTTACAAATTGATAATTTTACTAGGTATGCCTAAAAATATTAACATTGTTTAAAATTTCTTTAAGTTACGAGAAACAAAAAGTGAACATCAAAACGACAACGAACTCTTAAGTAGATAGGAAAATACATACCTAAAATTTTCGGTACTTCAGTATTAAACGGAGGCCACATTTTGTCAGCGCGCTGCGGCGGTTATGTTAGGTTGGGTTATCATAATAGAAAGTATCGTTCGATTCATAACGAAGCGAGGAAAGTCCTACACACATAATATTTACGATAACCCAACCTAACATAACCGCCGCAGCGCGCTGACAAAATGTGGCCTCCGTTTAATACTGAAGTACCAAATTTTCTTTCACGTAATTTTAATTATGGAAAATCACCGGTGGTATTTTAAATGATGTTCTAATTGTTGCCATACACCAATAACCTGTGTTTATTTATTCTTCAGGAAATTATTTTCTACTTTTATTCCCACACATTACCTACTTACTATTTTCATGGAAAAAGTATTAAAATTGTTCATTGAAACATTGTTTTATTGAAACTCTTTTTCGTAGTAAAGAGAAGGAGTACCGTTACGGTACTTACCTACGGTACTTAGGGACAACAGTATGAAGCTTGTTGTATCCATAAAAGCCTATGATCTTATTTAATAAAGAAGCTATGTTTAAAAGAACCCAAAATATTCTTGTTTTCTTAGATTCTATGAATTCAGGTTTTTACAAATTCTTTAAAATGTTTATTCCAAACTAACCAATACATTTATTTTTGTTGACACGTCAAATCAAATTATGACATTAAAAACTGCCCGAATCAGCTGTTTTTATTAACTACAGCTACAAAAAGGTATCGATGATAACATGGGAACTTTCAAGGGCTGTATGACGAAAACTGGATTTTTCTCAGCCTTGTGACCAACTCCAACCGATTTTCCGTGGCCAAATACCCCATTAAAAAAATCTAATATCCTCGGACAAAAAGTTTCCTCGTACACGCGTTTATAGGATAGGATTAACTAACCTGAAATTGATTAACCTACAGGAATAATACGCTTATTGTTGTAAATACAATACAAAACTCCTTGTGTAAACGGTAACGATGTCCAACATTAGACCTCATAAAACCGTACTCAAGCACAGAAAGATTTACGAAACTCTAAAACGTAGGTAATACTGTTCTTTTATGAATATTACCTGTAAAGCCTCCGTAACAATGTTTATAGTGGTGATATACTTTAATGGATCGTATCACAAACTGATTCTTAAAGTTCTAAAAGACTACGTTACTTCAGAAAATATAAATCCATTTTATTTTCATTTGAACTGTCGAAGTTTTTCCGCTAAAACGCAGAATCTTTGAGATTTAAAATACACACCTTACTACCTTCACATCAAAGCTAACATTCCACCCTTGACATGTTCTTGAGGGTTCTTTGTTAGGAAACGACTTATTTACCTCGCCGATTTCAGTACTTGAAAGGGAAATTATTAAAATATGTGATGAGTTATGTATGAGGGAGAATAAAGTAAAAACTTTTGATGTAAATTTGAATTACAGAATAGTATAGATTATTAAATATTTTAAAGTATAGAACAAGATGCGAGTATATTGAAACTATTGTCAATAAATATCCTATAGAGTCTATAATCTTTTTTTATATTTTGAGATGATAATATTACTGTACATGGTGGCGTAAGTTTAATGCGTCCCCGGTGTCGTATTGCCCTCTTTGTAACCCGGTAAACATCTAGTAATTAATTGTAATAATTAGCATAATGGTAGTTGGTAATCATCTCAATTTTGAACTTAACTATTAAAGCATTCTGGTACAAAGACAGTTTAAAATCAAACCTATGTACAGCCAGAAGGTTTTTGGGACATACAAATAATTCTTGGAAGATTGTTAATTTGGTTTATAATTAATATTATTTTATGTATCTTGGTGGATGGAGTTTACTAAAACAAAGTATGCTGTCCTTGCCTAAGAGATTTGTTCTTTTATGGACATAGGTGCACTAAGAGTGGCATAAGACCATTGCGTAGGTGCATATGAGCTCAACGTAGCTCTTAACCAACGGGCCGTGGCAAAGAATTCTTTGTACACTATCAAAAGCCTTTGGTGTCTGTTAGTATTTGATCCTGTGTCTCCTAGGCTGAAGAGGACATAGTCCTATATCCGCCTCAATATGGCTTCAGCTCTCTGGAACTTTACCCTCACTCCACGGCAAAATGTCCCGCGCGTTTACCAATAGACACCCAGGCTAGTCTTGAATTAAAATTAAAGGACATCGGTTTTTAGGTGTAATTTTACTTTCTTACCTTATACATGGTAAATGGATAAATTATTCGTTTTCATTAAAAATGTTCAGTTTAAGTTTTGTGTAAATATAGGATATATTCGTTTTGGGTCTCCCTGAACCCCCGCCCCCCTCCAAAAAAAATTTGTTTCTAAAGTGATTTCTGTGTGTTTATCTGTATGTGCGGATGTGTACAGAGCTACAGACCACTATGGTCCGGTTTTAATAAAATTCTGTACGTGGGTATTCACAATAATTCATGGTACACTCTAGGTGTTTTTTTTCATTTTTTTAGTTTTGATTTTTAATAACTAACTTCCCATAAAATAACGGAAAAATGTAAAAACTACTCGGCTGTTTATGACTTAAATTTAGTTATAGTTACGTTATAGCATTGACTATTGAGCCAAAGGTTATAGTCATTTTTACTCTGAACAAAATTGCTGCTAAACTTACAAGTTCGGAAGTGATTGCAACTTTCGCGATTTTCCCTATAAAATTTCATAGTTAATCCCACCATGATAAGGGTTGTTGACAAGCTAATGGGAGAAAGCATGTGTCAGAATGCCAACACCGTTTATTAATTGTTACGTGTTTATGTCAATACTGCACTTATTATTTTCATACAAACCCTTAAAACAACGAGTATCAAATATTTCTTTATCAAGACAATATGGTCGACAGCGCTGGTCTCCCTAAATATTGATGTTTCGTCGGATTCAAACTTAATCTAGTGTAAAGATAAAGATAGTAAACGTTCAGCGATTGTAACTTTAAGAACACGCTAAACTTTGGAAATCAGATCAAGAGAACAGTCTGAAGGCCAAAGTTTGATTGTTTACCTCCCAAAGCAACTTTACTAGGGTGTTTATTTCACTGAAATATAAAATTTTAAGTTTACCGCAAGACAAAACTCTAATCACTCGTGTTAGTTTTGTACTAGGCCTACAGAAATATTTTCCAACTATTGATCCACTAAGAATTTGTTCGCTTTCATTGTGATTTAATTTGCGTTGAAAATATTGAAGCTTCATCTTTGATTGAAATAATAATAAGTTTTAAGATTTCATTCATTACGCCAGGTGACACGGGAATGAACCCAACAATGAAACACTGTCACTTGACATTATTTTCCAAAATGGATGTGCCTGCGTGGAATTTTTAATAATTCTGTTACGACATAATTTATTCTTATAGAACGGGGATTCAAAGTACTACTTTTGTATCGTATCTGTTTTTCCTTATGTCCATTCTATATGAACAGAAAACTTTAGTTTTGTAGATTCTTCTGAATTTACATTATACTGAAAAATAATTATTAACAAAAACCTATCCTGTAATCTAATACGAGCTATGTAGGCAATGTTTATCTGTCTGTCAGATATCTCGAAATCCATAGCGGAAGGATTTTGACTAAATTTTGGAATTAAGGGCTTATAGCCCTAAAAACATGATTGGTGACCACCTATCTCGAAAACATTCACATTTCGCTACACATTTGAAAATGTTAAAATTTAAAACTTTAACGTTGGCCTTATGTGTTGCCATTTAACTATGTTGGTTGAACAAAATAACAAGGGAAAAGTAAACAAAATACTTGTAACATGTGTCTATAACAAGCCATCAACAGTATACTAGCAAATTACAAAATACAGTACACCAGTAATAACTATTGAGCAAAGATTACACTGAATATTCCTCGATATGGGGAAATAGATCCGATCAATGTTAATTGGATATAGGATGAAAAATATAAATCTGTAAAATTGTACCCAAATTCATCCAAACTAGCTAAGTACAACAATTTTGTTTTAAATGTACAATTTTGCTTAGTTTCACAGGGTTTCCTTTGATGTTTGTATTTTGTTGTATTTTGGTAACGTGAGTCAAAATCACCTCTCATTATTCTAGACAAATCTACAATCTATCCCAGTAATAACGCTATGTAAGCGATTCTCTAAGAAATTAATTTCTAGCTTAAAATGTAAAAACATAACATTGTTCTTTGTATTTTTTTATTTGTTTATATTCGTTCTTTGCTGTGTCATTATAACTACGGATAAAAAAAATTGTGTCCAGTAACTTTGTACAAAGTTTTGTAGCTCTATTTGAAATATATCGAAAAATATATAACCGACCCAGACTTTTTGGACACCCTGTGCAATAGCATTATCACAATTTTAGACCCCATTAGTCCTTATTATTTTAGTAAAAATAAATCAATACATGAACTCAGGAAGGAAATCAAATTGTATAATATGACTGTGACTTATAGGTACTGTAATGCAATACTCTACAACTATAAAACTGCTGTCCAGCTTACGTATAATTTACTCATAAACCTATACAAAAATCAGTAGCACCTAAATATAACCTTTAACCTAGTACTTGAAATTTTAGTGAAATGTTCTGTGACTAAATGATCAAGAGTATACAGTTTGCAGTTTGAGTGGCCAATTTGTGGTGTGGACATCCCGATATTTGAGACGTTATCCCTCGGGAACCTATCACCCGAGCGGGATGACAGGACCGGGACGGGAGTGACGCGGGATCCCGAGTGAGGATCCTGTTCAGTGTTCATCTACACTTTCTATTCGCGACATTTTCAAAAGTCCTTATGACCAAGATCGTTGCATGGATTTTAACTTGGAGTTAATTCGTTTAACGTTCATCAGACGGAAATATGAATATAATAATTGATAATAATACTTTTCCCAAGATTTTTCTAGGGTACGACCAATGAATATGTTATTTTCAGAAACGTTGTTATGGTATGAACATAACTATTAGTACCTAGAAATCACCATACGTAAAGACTGGAAGAATATGCGTCTAAGAAAACAAAATACATATTTAATATTACTACAGAATTTAAGGGCACCAAATAATACAAATATGATAATAGACTGTTGAATGTACTGTTTTCAACTTCTCTCATACTAATACGTGAGGGCTGTTTTTTGAGAACAAAACTCCTCCTTTATTTCTAGACCGATTTTAACGTTTGAGGTGTCAAATAATTCGTCTTAATTCGAAGTTTTGCATAAAGGTTTTAGAATTTAAAAACTCTTACCCTTAAGGGCACGAGACGCTCCCAAAGGTCGCATTTTCCCATAACATTTACATTGAAAACAAATTTAAAAACAAAAACAGCTGTATATAAAAAGAAACTCACCAGCTTTTTGGAAGTAAATGTTGATGTTTGTAATATTTAGGAGGTTATAGACAAATCTAAACAGTCAATCAGTTTTGTTGGAAGAACAGACAATTCCTTGAGTTTAAAGGAGAAATATTGAAAACAGGAGGAAGAGACAATTAATAGGAAATCTTATACTTATGAGAAGAGTAGAGGAGAGGCCTAGTCTCACAGTAAGGAATCCAGGTACACAATCACTTGGGGAGATGAATCATTTTTGCCAGTTATGCTAAGCAATTTATTTTGGAAGTAAAAAAATCATGAAGAATATACACATCATGTTGTCACAGTAGTAAAGTAAACCTACCTAAAGTCAGATCAAATAAATACATGCAAGAAATGTTTACTGGTAACAGCTTTAAGTCGGGAAACATTTGTATAAAACACTAAAAAATAAGGCCGGGTGCTAAAATATTTTTACAAGAAGCGTTTATTATTTCAAAGCACTATTAAATAGCGTGAGTATTTCAATTAGTTACATAAGGTTTTAGTCGGGTCTTTTACCTCATTGAAAATTTTTACTGTTATTACTGTAGTTTTCAAATAACTTCTGTATAATACCGGTACTCGACAATTGCTCGATTTCGAGCAACAGGTACACTAGTTTAAATGAGTTGTTGTGTTGAATTAAAAGATCAGACAATTAACAGATAATTAATTAAGTTGTTATTTTGATAGAAATGTCGTAATAAACTAATTCAAAGCCTACATGGAATTTCTACCCATCGATTTCTTTACCGTTATTTTTCTGAACATAAACATTTCAGGGAGATCTTGTAGTATGTCCTATGATTTGCACAGTATACATACATACAGCGAACCATTTTGTCTATCATAGCCCACTCAGTCTGCCAGTTGTGTTATGTAGTCCATGTTTGCGGCCTTGTTTTGACACTTGTGACACATTTCATGAATTATGTAAACGTTATCTCTCGCAAACATGATCGTTTTGAGGCATTCCATTATTTCTTAAACGCTTCAAAACTCTTAATTCAATTGACTGTTTGCTCAATAAGAAATCAAGATAAACTTTAGCGATACTTTTGAAGTTTCTTTAACACGACCTAGAAATTTAAGTCAACCTTTCAAACTAGGTCATGTAAAACTTATTTATTTCATCTACACAACGGTAAAACCTGCACTTGGCATTACATTTGGATTTTGTCGCCTTATAATTCCTTGACACGTTCTGGAATATTCAGATACGCAGACCCTACAGTTATTTACTTGACCTGAATCGTGAAAAGTAGCTCTTTGGATTTTCTATTAAAATAATGATCTAAAACTGCTTGTGAATTCCTTACGTCCGAATTGTCATTAATTTTAATTAAGTATCTTTATCATGAGATTACGTAGCCTATGTGTAAACGCACATCATTACATCACTTTGTAAACTGAAGAGTTGGATTTTTATCATCCAATCCCAGGGCAAATGCAATTTTCTGTAATTATTAGGCCTCCTGTAATCAAGATGATGGTTCAATCACAAAATTTTCTCTTAATTATCTTCTACAATAAAAATGTTGTTTAAATTATCTTAAAACTAAACGTTTTACAACAAAAAGTACATTTTTGATTTTGCTAACATTTTAGAATGTGACATAATTTGCGATCTAAAATATGATTGATTACACTCTTTCGAAGTATAGAGTCAATATATATACACACACGTCATGTGTCAATAATTGTTTGGTTACAACAAAAAACCCCTTTACACGCTTTTATTCCCTCGGCAACGTCTATGGATGTTTCTCGGAAACACCAGGCTTGATTAGACTAAAGTAGGTCTCGGTAAAAGTGCACGTCTCACAAAGAAGCAGCTGGCTGTATGACGTCATCGGCGTCACGTCAGGCCCTTTAATCCAACTAATGACATTACACTGACCTCTAATCTGCTGGGCCTGGTACATACGTGTAATCTTACACATATTGAAACTTTTCATTTTTATGTTCATCAAAATTCTTTTTAGGAACAATTTTTTAGATTTACTATCGGAAAAGTTGATCAAGGCAAAACATTGAGTAGTTTGTGCATGTTTAAGCGAGGAATAAATTTCAATCATTGCCAACGTCTTGAATACTTGCACAGTATTTTTGTCATAACAAGTACACAAAGTACGACAAAGTAAGACACAAGTATGACAAAGTAATTTTGTCTTGTCATTGTGTATCAAAAGTCCAATACATTTACGTAATTGTATTTAACTATTTGTCTTAACAAAGTTTACAACATACATAACATTATCTAAGAAGCCATATATACCAACTTTAATTAAAAAAAAAACTGGTCCAATAATGTATTCTTAAATGCGTCAGATAAATAAAACTACGGTATACAGTACCAGTTTTTGTTTACAGCCTATTTAATGGAATAGAAACACCTAAAGACAATATTACCTCCGTTCTGGCAACTGTTAAAAGTAAAATGTCCATCAACGTGTTCTGTAAAGTTTAAATGAAAATCCTTGTTTCTTTATGTGATCTCAGAACCCATTGTCCTTTCTTGCAGAAAGTGGTAGAGTTGACTCACTAGTCACTATACTGTACAGACGGAGTAAACATTGTCAATTACTGGTGTCTATAGTTATAACGAAACATTTAAAGGCTAATCAAAAACACAACTACTATTTTTCACATTCACACACATGATTTATAAATATGGTAGTTATTTATGTAACTGTCATTTCAATCGATTATAAATTTATGTAAGTGATCTATTTTTAATTAGAACATTTTTTAAACTAGCGAAATATCAATTTAGCTTTATATTTGTTTTATTTCAGACTCGATTAAGATTATTTACAATTTTTGTGTTTATCTTTTCTTACCTAAACTAGGTACCTATGAGAACTTCTTCTTTTAAAAGATAAAGTAATTCAACTTCTGTTAAATATTGCTATTCACGTGAGATTTTAAATCTAAGTACATTACACATTTTGCCACGGGTTATTATATTAGTCACTCCAGTATACATACATGAAGTAACTAAAAGAAGATTCCGTGAAGTAGCACTTTGGATTGCACTAGCCCTAGAAGTCGGACATTAAAAGAGGAAGTAGCAAAGATTACTTCCTCCTTGATTGATGGAGATCAATCTGGATGAGCTATTTCAGAAAATATTGTTTCTAGATACTGCCAAGGATGAAGGACAAGGACCAAGATTCCATGGTGTCCGAGGACAGTGCTGTATCCAACGTGGGGGTCAGCAGCCAGTGTTGCCCCGACAGAGCTGCCAACCCTGCGTACAAGAACGGCCGACGCTTCCAGGAGCTGCAGATGTTGATCCTGCCATTCATCCCCATCCTGGCACTGATATGTCAAACTATCTACTACCTCCAGGACGTGCTGGTCTACCACGAGGAGGTGTCAGCTGTAGAGATGCAGGCAAGATGTGGTACCATAGACATAAGTCGTATTGACTTTAGTGTACTCAAGTAGACCTCCCTTACACAGGGTGTTGCTTCTATATTTTTGTAAGAACTGCATAATAGATAGAAATATGCAGTTTGCGGGAATCATCTATTGACGTAGAAACCACTATTGTTGTGAATTCAATGTTAAGTTCTCATTCACCCCCTTTCTCCCCCTACCTTTAACTTAATTTTTTTTAATTGCAAGGTACCCCTTGTAACATATTAAGCGCGTTAAGAGCGTGAAAAAGAAAAAGAATGGCAACCTATTTTAGAAGTAGGGATTTTTTTAAGGTGGAGGAGTGTGATTTTTGGAAATGCAGAAGAGTGTTTTGTAGATCATTTAATTTTATCCCTTTAATTTAACATGCCACAATAGGTGACTTGCTTTTTAAAAATGTTTAGAGTTTTTTAATAAATAGAGAAGTAAAAAAAAAAAACACCCTATATGCACAAGCTGTAGCCTAGGCAGTTTGTCTTATTGTTAAAAGAAAACTCCAACATTTGATGATACAACAGTTGTTGAGCTTTTTACTTGAAATTTAATTTAATCGTACCTTCTATCGGTTGTCTAATAATTGACACGTCTGGACCGGACTCCCGCCAAAATCACCTGAGGTGTGCGTTGCGAGGGAAGGTTTTATCGCCTTGTATTTTCATCTCTTCACCAAGTTTGCAAACGTGGCAGTCTCCCCTCACGTGCCAACTGCCAACTAATCTTAAGTTCAAACAATGTTTATAACCCTTTGTGGCTCAAAGCGGAGAATCTTTTTCCTTCATTTGTATCTTTATAATACGGAATTTTTATTTTATATTTTTCAAATTATATCCATAATATTTGAAGAAGTCCTTTATTTTCAAATATTTTGTCGGTCCTTATAGAGTTACCGAACAATTTTGGCTCTACCCCGTTGGCTTTGAAAGTTTCAATGTGTATTATGGAAATGTTTATGGACTCCTAATTATTGAACATTTTATAAGGATTCGTGTAATTTTGCTGTTTTGGTTACCTGAAAAATTTAATGTCTCATAAGTAAGCTAAAATTACTATGGTAAACCTCAAGCAACAGGTTAATCCGTCTTGATTTCGATACATAAATTTTCGAATCCATCAAAAGAATGTAACTTACCAACTGTGTATTAAAAGGGCGTCAAAATCTATAACTGGGATATCGTTATAGCTACAGATATATAGAAATGTTAACAAGCCATATTTCACCTAACTCATTGAAAATAGCCAATAGTTACTTACAATTCAAGATAATTATATTCAAAGTTAATAACATTAATTTGCTACTTAAATAGAGGAACTTAACACAATAATCTCAATGGTTGATAAAATATGAATTTTTCCCAAGGTTTATGTTTTATGACAAGATAGTAATAGCTGATAGATAGTTTCCTGAATCTGTCAAAATTGCAATTTACATCCAATGAACCCAAATAAATAATGTAAATAATGACTCCAAAATAATTATGAAAACTTCAACCTGTTACCGTATACCTACTTTTACTTATTCTTTCTACAAAATTGGAAAAACCTTATGGAAATTTCCCCAAGCGTACAATGACTGTTGTATTTAAGTGTAATAGTATTTGGATTGATGACACTTAAAGGTATCAAGTTATGATGAATATAGGTTGGAATGGTGGTTCACGTTTCTTTCTCATCAATTCTAATCACGTTCACCCACACAACTCCCTTCCCTCCCTCAGTAATGGCAGCAGTTACTACCATTTGTGCCACCGACAGATCACTGTTATTATATTTATATAAATATGTATTTCAAAAGATTAACCTACAGTACTTTTGGCTTGACCTTTACATTAAATGTCAAATTCCTTGTTTGTCAATGTGTCGTTTTTGATATTTTAGGGGGTGCTGAACTATGAAAAATACTAAGGGGTGGGTTTAGGACAATTTTAACACATTTTAAGTTTTTAAATATTTGAAAAATTTCAACAAACGAGAGTCGTCATGGATTAGTTTTGATGTGAATGGATAATCCAATCCTGATCCTACATTTCTTTGTTTTCCCTAATGATGCTGGTTTTTGGTCTTCGCCTCCTGATTGCAGTTAAATGTTTCCTTCTTTTCGTAACGTCTTACAAAAATACAAATTATTGTTGAGCCGTTTATATTTTTAGTAGTGGTAATTAATTATTTTTTTTTAATGATATAAGGGACCTTTGCGTATAGGCCTATGTTTAAATACTGTCAAGAAACAATAGTAGTAAGAATATCAACAAAAAGTTATGTCGTAAGCCAAAATTATAATCCATAACAAAAAATATTTCAATAGCCCTCACAGCCTATTTAAATACCATGACAGGTTAGTTCTTGAAATCAACTCGGTCAAATAAGACGCACATTTGAAGCAAAGTTAGGGGGTACATTTCCTACTGCAATGTAAAAACTAAACAAAATTTGGCTAAACTAATTTGCATGCGAATCTTTATGATTTTTTTTTACAATAAGATAAAATGTTTAATATTTGCAAATAAGTAACGTGATGAAACAAATCGATTTGACGTAAAAAATGTTTGTTTCTAGGATAATAAGTTTAATGTCATTCTCTAAATTTTAAGTCCCCAAATCCCCAAAGGTTGGGGTCGAGGGACTAGTTGGCTATCTGATTTTGTCCAACAATGGTCTCCGTTACTCCCTTACCTCTCACTGGACTAATAATGCAAGATCTGCCAATGGTGGGTAATAAAAGGATTACAGGAAAGAAATGTTATAGAAATACTTAGAAGTAGTTTTTATCATGTCACCAATAACTATTTATATGGTCAAGTTTGTTTCTATATTGGATTTATGAATACCAAACTGTAGTGTACATCCGGTTCTTTCATATATTCGGTAATTAAATAAACACATCACGGCTCTGCCTTGGGCGTTTCAAAGATACCGTGTTATATTTTGAATTGTTTTTCGATTGGTTTTTATTGAAACAGTACAAAATACGCAATGTTTACATTTGCTATGCATTTCTCAAATGCTGATTGTGTTTTACAGACACGTATTGATGGTTAAAACCCCTAATAGGGTATTTTGTGAAACTGTTCACTACGGAGAGTATGCTAAAGTCGATGAAAAAAATTAAGGCATACGTTTATTTATTGCATGGTGAAACTGAAACGATGAATCCCTACAGTAGCGCAAAAACGTGTTTAAAATATTTGATTTTAAATCTTAAAATATTATTAAAATTTAGGTAAATATTTTGAAAACCTTTTAAAATGATTTCAAATATGTTTTACTGTATCTATTTTTATTTTTCAAACAATATTTTTTTAATAGTGCTCAATATTATAAAAATAGTTAAAACATATTTTGAAAACAATTAAAAAATATTTGAAATATATTTAACATATCTATTACTGTATATAAAATTCTTGACATGTTTGTAAGTTTGTCCTTTATTTATTAACAAACCGTCCTTTACCGTGAAACTGTTCCATGTAGGTTAAGATAAGTAATAGCATAGTAATAGCTTTTACCTAACCCGCCATGTTAAACTTCCCTATCCCAAGCGTGATGTATACAACTTCCTTACTTCTCGAGTGATGTAAAGTATCAAAAACTCACTCGGTGATGTAATGAAACCCATTTAAATAACATTGAGTGATTAACTTAAAAAATATACCTCTATGGAGCCAACGACGTTCAACGCTAGAAATCAGCTGTGCTCTTGAATTTTATTGTTATGTTTTGATGAATTTTCCTAGCCTAGCTTTTGTTTGTAAATAAACGTTACTGTTAGAAGATGAGTGAAATGGATAATGATTAATATTGTTCGTCTGTATTGTTGGTCCTGTATATTGTCGGGTCAGGTAAAATCTTGTACGTTACACGTTACGCAAGAGCGTGTTTACATCACTTAGGTAAATTATGCAACTCGCTTCCGCCCGTTGCACAACCTTCACCTGCGTGATGTAAAAACGCTCTTACTACACTTGTAAGGTAAATAGCTATTACGCCACATTACATTATTTTGACGAACTTTCCACGCAAGGATTTAGTCCAGAAAACAGCTGTTTGCCGCCAGCTTATTCAAATGGGGTTTCATTGCGTACTACTGTACTGCAATGAATTTTGCCGGACACCAATCAGCTGATTATACTGTATTTAGTTGGCAGTGAGTGGTTATGAACAAAAACATAACCTCTCTTAGAGGTTATGACTAGTGATTTTTAGTCCTTTAGTTGGTGGAAATATATAAGGATTTGTACGGATTTAGTAGTATGGCGTAAACTATCGTACGTAACTCGTCCAAAATATGTGTACCGGACTCGTATGGTAATCCCGTACTCGACTTTGTCTCGCACGGGAACGACCACACTCGTCCGGTAAACACTTATTTTCAGGACTAGTAACGTAATATACTATTACCTACGACCGTTTTTTAAAGTAGCCATTTCAGTCCAGTTCTTAGAATTAAAAAGTTTCACTTTACAGCTGTTTACTTTCATATCCGCATAGTTTCATTTCATATCCGCATAGTTTTCTCATATCCACACAGGTAACGGACCAATGAGGTTCAAGTATTGAGAGAAAAGAATTAAAATTGTAATGCTTCAAACGTCAAATAATCAGCTGATCAGCTGATCAGTTGACCAATATAATTGTTTATCCGACTTGTTCATGTTGATACTCGCGTATTCTTAATTAAGTTGGTGGAAGTCCAAAAATAAATGAAATATTTGCCGAATTGTACCTGATACAATATTATTTATGGTAAGAATGCTGCTAGCAATGTAATATTTAACGAAATTTAACAAACACGTAATTACAGGAAATCAGCTGATTATACAACAAGTCGTTGCATCACTTTCAGTGGAAATGACAATACACGAAAACATAACCTCTCTAAAAAGTTATCAGTAGTTATTGTTAGTAATTAAATCCAGATTGATAGTAATTAAAAAACGGTCGTAGGTAAAGTAGTGTACGCAACTCGCGTTAATAGT